AAACTTCCCAAAATTTATTTCAAAAAAATTATTTACACTTTCGCAAGATCAAGAAAAGCATGAAGCCATAATTGTTTCACTTTACTATTTTGATTGGAAGAATTCATTATGAAAATTCCTTGATTTGTCATCCATTAATCCATTATCAACCATTGGGTCCCCCAACTTTAATCTAGTTTGACCGTGACTACTAATAAATGTTTCTAGAAAAACACTTTTTTCCATAGCACGAAACAATTTTCTTTATATATTTATTTTTTATACCGTAAAAATATTTTAAAATTATAGGTTTAGTTTCACTTAAACATCCCCTTAGAGTAAGAAAGGGCTTAGCAATGATCCCACAAGTTTGACTAACACATCACATGGGGGATTCGCATGTATAGCTCGGGTTTGAATTGACTGAGGAGACTTAAGCTTGTTTATATCCATATACTACTTTCAAATACTTAATACAAGAACTAGTTAACTAATTTGAGTATATTAAGAAACTAATTAAGTTAGTAATTATAATAAATATGTGTTGTTTTTCCAAAACATATTATTAATCACGTATATTAGTTAGAATTACTATTACTTTATCGGTTCAAAATAAAGTTAAACTTTATCATTTATATTTATCAATAAACTAGTTGAAATTAGTTTGAAACAATAAATATGTAAGCCATGTATTTTTTTTCCAGATATGCCTTTATTAATGGAAAAAATAAGTAAAAGGTGTGTAATAGATGAATCATAGAGAAAAGAGAATGTATGGGGATAAAATTAGATAAAAAACTCATTAGATGCTTAGATAAAAGTAAATGTTATCTTATTAAAAAAACCAAGCCTCTCTAACAAAGTTTAGTTTATATTTTGAACTGGAGGAAGTATTAAAATAAAGTAGATAGTGGTCTTATATTTAAGATCAAAATAAAAAACAAACAAATTCTTATATTAAAAAATAGAGGCAACATTTTATATTTTATAATATATCTAAAGAGAATTTTCTATCAAATATGAAAACTAATTGAAGAGTTAAATTTAGGGGGTGTTTGGGTAAAATCAAAACCATGGTTTCATAAGTGCTTTTACGGTATACGAAGTAAATATGTGGAGGAGTTTGTCTCGATTTACGAAAAAATACTTCTGAAAAATGATTATTAGGATATCCAAACACCTTTTTAGTTTTAAATATTCTATGACAAGGGTAGACAAGCTATTTGGTTTGTCTGTTATCCATGCCATGCACATCCTTAAACTTTAATTATTCAGTAAAATCAAATCCAATCCTATGCGAAGATCTTGCTTTTAAATAAAATGATAAAAAAGAAGAAGCTAATTTCAATTTGAATCCTTACATGTTAATATTTTGGGAAAACTTGTTCTCTAATCCTTATAGTTTTTCTCAGTTTTGATTTAGCACCCTGTTTCTTTTTTATTAGGTCCTTTATGTTTATTTTGTTATATCCACAAGTCCTCAAGCCATAAAACCGTTAACAGTATTAAAGTGTTAAAAGTTCTGTTAGTGTTTGATGAGATGGCACCAAACACATCGCTTAGGTGGGTCAGATCAGGTCTGGGAAAAATTAAAGCCACGTCTGAAAAGAAATTAATTTTGCACATATGGAAAAAAAAAAAGGGTGGTTCGGATTCTGCGTCAGCTCACTTGGGTCCTGGTTCGCCGTGAACACAAGAGAAGCTCAGAAAGCAGGAGAAGGGACGATCGCCATCACACGCAGATGCCAAGAAGGGAGAAGATTAGATAGGCGCTCTTTTTCTTCATGATTCTAAGCGAAGAGGCGAAGTTGAGCGTTGTTCTTCGGTGTCGAAGGGTGGCCCTGGGTTTTCATTGTCGGCTTGTTTGAGTACTTCCTTGCCCTTTCTGATCTGACCTACTCTTCTTGATTTTCCATCTATCTTCCTAGAAGTTCCTTTGAAGGAAACCTCAATCCCTTTTCCTCAATTCCATTTTCAGATTATGAATTTGGAAGAGGGGTTTGATTCAACCATGTGGATTACGCCCTAACCACATAATTCCATATTCTTGAAAAATTTTGATTTCGTCACCAAATCGTTCTGCTCGATTAGGTATTGATTGATAAATCTAATATTGCAACCTCATACAAAATCATCTACAACGTTCTCTTCATATTGCTTCTTACTGTGATATTTTTTATTATTGCAATTTAATTAACCATGAGAAGGCTTTATAATTCTGATTGTTAGGCCCAGTGAGGTCCACCTTGAATACATAGACGCAGCTTGAGAAGGCTTCATATTCTGATTGTTCCTGATTGTTGAGTATGACCGTAATCGTCGTTGCCCCCTTTTCCCTGGGTTCACGGCGGCGGACCAAGAACAAGGGAGCCGATGAACAACCCGACTTGGCTAAAATTATTTTAATATTTGCAAAAATAAGTTCTTTTTCAGATGTGGCTTAAATTTCCCTCAACGCAATCAGGTCCACCTAAGCAACATATGTCCAAGTGGATGCCATCTCATCAAATACTAACAGGGCTTTTAACACTGTTAACAGTTATGGATATAACAAAATAAACAAAAAGGACCCAATGAAAACAAAGCTCAAGGACCTAAAGCAAAACTAAGGAAATTATAAGGATTGGGGAATTAGTTTTCCTTAATTTTTTTGACCAACTACAAATGAATACTAATCACTCATTTTTTTGGTGAGAACTATAACATAATCCGAATTAAACTAATTAGATCATATCACGCCATCATTTAATATAAAAACTATATAACTAATTTATAAATATTAAAAAAATTAAGTAAATTATTTATTTATAATAAATAAAATTATTTTTTAAAATATTTCTATTAATTATGTATACTAAAACTACTTTTTAATATAATCACAATATGTATTACTTGTGAGTAAAATAAATAAATATCAGAGATAAAATAAATTGAGATCTTATATTTAAAATTAAATTTGAAACCTTATTCTTAGGGCATTGAAAAATTTCTTTTCACTTGACTCAATCAATTATAGTTTATTACTAATAATTTATCAAGGAAAAACTATCCGTAAAGGAGTTATGTAAAAAAGAGCTTAGTTTGGTTAATACAATTTTTATCTTCTACTTTGTTTTCATTTTAGTTTTAATTTATCAAATTTCAAATTATAAGTTGTGGTATCTCAAGTTTCTTCTCATTAAAAATATTGGTTCTAATAATTCAATGAACATTTAAACCATTTTGTCCTTGAGAGAGTAAAATTTATAATTTGAAATTTGAGTGGATAAGACCTAAACAAAGGCAAACTTGATGGATAAAAAATTATATTAACACTTTACATTTTTATTATAATCTACATGTTTAATTTTTCTAGATCAAATTAATCATTATATTAAATAAACCAATGGTTTGAAGAGTTAAAGTTAATGCTTTAAACAGTAATTCATGCTAAACGTTTTAAACGTCAAAATGTCCAAAAAGTTAAAAAAAACTTCTGGCCAACAAAAATTGCCTGAAAAAAATGCAGTAATTTGCATCGCTCTGGGTAGGATCCTAAACTGTATCATCTTTTGGGTCTGTAGGGGGGAAAAAAAAATGAAGGAACCTTATTATTGATACTGATTAATGATTAATTATTCAATAACACATTTATATGTATGAAGTTATAATTACAATTAGATAAGCTAATGTTGATTAAGGATAAGTTGCCTCAATCACAATGGCACTCGTGATTAATTATAATAAATTTGTATTGCTTACTTATTATTGAAATTTCTGTTCGTTATATTTCTTCTTCTTCCCAAAAAATTCTAAAAGGAATTGAAAAAAAAAATGCGAGAACTATTATTGTAATTTCAGCTGAACAGGCGCCCCCGGGGGGTTGTTCAGTGTTTTTTTTTTTTTTTTAAGGGCAGGAGGTCATTATTGTAATTTGAGATCAAAATCCCCGTTTCTTGGCTAACCGGACCCCTTCTTGCCTATAAATACAGGAGAAGCGCTCAGTGGTTTGAAACCGCAGGGAGGAGGGAGAGGGGGAGTTAGAGAGAGGGGGATAGACAAGAGCCTCTCAGAGACCCTGGGGGGAGATGGTGGGAGAGATGATGACATGCGAAGAATCACACTAGACGATTGTTCTAAAAAATTTGCATGAACTTCTCATTCTCTGAGCATTGTCGTTTTCGTTGAACCTGCGTTCGAGTTTTTTCTGCATCACCTCCCTTTGTTACTGCGAGCCAAATCAGTGCAGATGAACCGCTTGGGGCTGAAATCCGTGGTCTACCACGGTGACTTGCGGTTAGGGGAACTGGATGTTATCCCTGTCAAGGGCCAGAATTTCCAGTTCCCAAACAACGAGATTCGAATTCGCCATATATCGCCGAGGAGTGAGCGCTGTCCTCCTCTTTCAATATTGCAAACGATTTCTGCATTCTCTGTTCGATGCAAGCTCGAGTCATCACTGCCTATTGAACAACCTCATTTGATCAATCTTCACGCTTCGTGTTTTTATGAATTGAAGGTCTCAGCCAAAGGCATTTCTCTTTTATTTTAATCTGTCACTGGTATTTTCCTGTAGTTCAGTCTGATTGCTCATGAGAAAATGTTGATTAATTGTATAAACTTAATTTTGACTTTTGCATTTTACATCAATGATTGAAGCTTCAGTTTTTGTCACTCCGTCAACCAGGATGGATTTCTCGGCAGCACGTGAACTTTGATTGTCTCGTTTACTCCTTCAATTGCGCCCCCTACTAATTTCAACTTTGAATTCTAAAAGCGAAGTGTTGATTCATAGATTCTGATTTGTGGTTTTGATTTGGATGGAACAGACGGCGGTGGCATTAGTTGGGGATGAAGAAATTCACTTGGTGGCTATGCCGAGTAAGAGGAAGAAGTTTCCATGCTTCTGGTGCTACTCAGTTCCTGTGGGTCTATTCAATGCATGCTTGGGGTTGTTGAATCTGCGGTGTCTTGCGATTGTGTTTGATTTGGACGAGACCCTCATCGTTGCAAATACCATGAAGTCATTTGAAGATAGAATTGAGGCCCTGCGAAGTTGGCTTGCTCGTGAGACTGATCCGCTGCGAGTGGCCGGAATGTCTGCGGAACTTAAGCGTTACATGGATGATCGTACACTTTTGAAGCAGTACACGGAAAGCGACTGTGTCGTCGATAATGGAAAGTTAGTCAAGGTTCAATTGGAAGAGGTGCCTCCATTGTCTGATAACCATGAGAAAGGTGTTCGGCGTCCTGTCATTAGATTGCAAGACAAGAATATAGTCCTCACTCGCATCAACCCAGAGGTTATATCTCTAATCTTATAGAGATGATATTTATCCACGCATCATTGTCCATATTGTTATGTTGGACTTGATGGTTGTTATTGAAAGGATTCACGGTCACGAGCTGAGAGGAAATTGTAATTAAAAAATTCTCATCAACTACGAAATTTTAAAACACCTAACAGTCAAAATGATGCTAGAGCCAGATAGATTAAAATGTCTTTCTCTCAGCAATATTGGATTAAAAATTCATGTGTTGCTTAATATTCAAGGCCGACAATATATATGTATGTCTCAAAACTGTGGAATATTAAATTTTACACACTTTAAAGTTGCTCTGGTTTGATATTTTGGGTTTATCGATCTTACGTTTGAGCTTGTTGCTTGTTTCTTATGCCATCCATTAGGTTGGACGTGTTTGGTTTTAGATTTAATAGTTTTGTACTCTTTTCTCTCCCTCATCCTTCTCTCCCACTCTCTCTGGGTGAACTGGATATTTTCAGAGCTTGGTCGCCCATGGGAATGATTTATGAGAGAAAAGTGCTATAATTGTTTAGAAGCTTTTTCTTATATAAGGATTTTGACATACAGTAACTTTGCTTCTCTTTCACATAGATTCGAGATACTAGTGTGCTAGTAAGGTTGCGACCTGCTTGGGAGGATTTGAGATGCTACTTAACTGCAAAAGGACGGAAACGGTTTGAAGTATATGTTTGTACTATGGCTGAAAGGGATTATGCCTATGAAATCTGGAGACTTCTTGACCCTGAGGAACATCTTATAGGTTCAAAGCAACTCCTAGATCGTGTTATTTGTGTCAAATCAGGCATGTCTTCCTTATTCTGTAAACTTTTTTAGCTTTGCTTTTTGTATATTATACTTTTGGTCTCATTACATTTTTAAAATAAATTGTCTAAGTGGCTCTCACTGGTTCGTAATGTTTCTCTGATTCATTGTTCAACTCATCATGTTTGTGCTTGCCGCAATGGTTACCTTCATCATGATGTTATTGTTCATGTTGGTTTCCTTTGTTTCTCTCATACGCCCACACCAATCTGGGGATGGTGTTGCCAAAATTCTATAAAATAAATGTGTAAACCTTTTATACTAATGATGTTTCTAGGCTCCCGAAAATCTTTACTGAATGTCTTCCAACGTAATATGTGCCATCCAAAAATGGCAATGGTGATTGATGACCGTTCAAAGGTTTGGGAAGACAAGGACCAACCCAGGGTTCATGTAGTTCCTGCCTTTACTCCTTATTATGCTCCACAGGCAGAGGTACTGTCATATTTATTGCAAGTGAATTGTTTTTTTTTTATTTTAAAAACAAAGCTTTACTTAATTGAAACATCGTTATTTTCTTTGTGGCATTTTTAGACGGCCAGTGCTGTTCCTGTCCTGTGTGTAGCAAGAAATGTAGCATGCAATGTCAGAGGCTGTTTTTTCAAGTAAGTTATTTGCAATTGTTTTATATGTTCAAATATTTTCTCTCAATGGCTCTAATTTGTTAAAACTTGTGTACAGAGAGTTTGATGAGAATTTACTTCAAAGAATTTCTGAAATTTTCTATGAAGATGAGGTTGCAAATTTACCAAAACCTCCCGATGTGAGTAACTACTTGATGTCTGAGGTATGTCACTGTAATATATTTTTCTTCGTTTATTGGTGATAATTAACAAATCTTGAGCTATGTGTTGCTTTTTTTTTTTTTTTTTGGTGAACAGCTATGTGTTGCTATTTTGCTGCTGTGGGATGCTTGCTTATATATTACTCTAATATCAACAACTTTGTTGAATGACAGGATGTGCCTAATGGTAGTGTGAATGCCCCCATCATTGAGGGAATAAATGGTGTAGAAGCTGAACAGAGGGTAAACCAATCTGTTAGCTTTTGAGGTTTTTGTATCTATGTTTTGTGTCTCTGTTATAGCAGTATGCCTTGGAAGTTACCATTGAACTTGGTAGTTCTGGTTAGAGATTGCTTAATATTGCTTGTGATGAGTTTTTGCCACAGAATATTGATATTCGTTGTAAGGTTGAAAATAATCATAGACATTACGATTATTTTCTGTGTTCTTACTCTTATGTTACCCTTGACAGGATGAGAAGTCTTCTGTTGATTTGCCCACTCGATCTATGGCCAACAATGTTGAGCTGAAACCTGAAACCTCTCAACTACCTGCTGGTGTAATTTCAAACGTTATATACCCTATGTCTTCCCCCACCTTCATTCCTTCTCAGAGTATGTTACTTCTTACGTGATCATATTCTAGTTTTGAAAATATTTACTGTTTTCTTATGGTAGCTCTTCTTAATTTGTTTAAGAGCCTGGTTTGCTTGGACCTCCGATCAAGCATGAAGGAAGCTCTGTTAATCATGATTATGACGTGAAAAAGGGACTATTGACAACGAGGCATATTCCAGATATAAGAATTCAAAGTTCAGGGGAACCCCCTCTTATATCAAGGCCTCCCACTCAAGCATCACCATCTTTAATGCATCCACATGGAGGCAGGTTGGTAGAAGATGATAGCAAAGCTCAGCTAAATATTCGACCTTCTGTACCGGTTAATGTAAAGTTTGAAAAGCATCAGCTTCAGCTGAAACCTTTGTCTCAGAGTATGCTGACTTCAGCTTCTAATCCTTCATTTTCACAAGCATCACTAGGGAAGAGTGAAGAGGTTTGTCAATGATATTATACTGCTTCCTGCTTTCAATGATGGTTGTGTGTTGTTTGGAGCACTCAAGGTTGCTTCTCTCAAATTCTTCTTAATGCAGGCAAGTTCTGCCCGTGATTTGCATAGGCAAACTCTTCCATCTCCATCCCTGCTAGCAGGTATTTCTTTAAACCTATTATCTGAATTCATTCTGATGGACTGGATTTGAAGCTTTTGAATCTTATTTGTTGTCTATTATCATCAATGAAGCGTGTATTTGGTTTATCACCTAGGGTGCCAAATGGCACTTTACCGAGAAAAAAAAAATTGCCCTTGATATTGTAAAGAAAGTGGCAATTTAAATAATCCATCCACATGACAAGTGCGACATAATTGAAAATTGGGGGACATGTGATAGTAGGTTCTGGATTTGTTCTAGTTTCATGATATCTTACAGGGTTCAGCTCGTACAAGATTATTATCGTGAGTATACTGGCTGTAATTTTCTATATTTTCTCAAAAATGTTCAAATTGTTCTAAGTTGAATTTAGGGGGCCAGAAAAGGCTAAATACTTTTGACAAGCTTTCTTTTAAACTTTTCAGTGACAATCTAATTTGATGAGCTGATAACTTTTGATGTTGTTGGCTATGTTATGTTACTGACTGAAGGTTTTTTTCCAGAGTATGATGCATCTCAGGATCATACGTCTTCCATTAACAGAGAATTTCAAAGTGAGGTGGGAAAATTGAACTTCTTACCTGCTCTGTCTATTGGAGTGCTGCAAGAAATTGGAAGGCGATGTAATTCTAAGGTGTGTGTGGTTTCTGCGTGCAATTTTTTAAAAAAAAATTTCTGGGTTTTTGAAGGCATTATTTTTCATGTGTTTCTCTTTGTAGGTTGAATTTAGGTCCATTGTAAGCACCAGCAAGGACTTGCATTTTTCAATGGAGGTCAGTGGAAGTTGTTTTTTAATGGATCTTTCTCTATCGAACTCATAAAATTTCATATATACATATATTAATAATTGTTATATTTCATTATTTTTTGCTTATTTAGTTTAATTTTATGGTGTTATATGAGATTGATTGGCTCAACAAGCTGCTTGCTGTTGAATTATAAGTTTGATTGACATTATGTAATCGTCTATGTTGAGCCATGTAGAATTTTTGCCTGATGACACTGGCATCCTGAATATTAGTGAGCATCATAATTCAATTTTTCTAAGCACCCACTTTCTTCTGATATATATAGTTGCTCATAAGGTGTGTATTTAGTATGTTTTCTTTACATAACTTTATTTAGTATTATGAAAAGTCTGCTTAGTTTGTAATAAAAAACTTATTATGGTCTGCTTCCCAATTGGTCATATTTCAGTTTCTTAGCTTTCTTCTTAGCATTTTCTTTGGTATCTTAATTTATGATTTGGGCCTTATGTAGCTTATCTAATAGGTTCTCTTGTTTGATGCACCTCACATTCTACCCAACAGCTCTCATGTGTAGTTTTGGACTCATGCGATTGTATGATGCCTTTGTTCAGGTGCTATTCACCGGTGAGAAAATAGGCGTTGGAATGGGTAAGACAAGGAAGGATGCACAACAGCAAGCTGCCGAGAATGCCCTCCGTAGTCTAGCAGGTGAAATTAGTTTCTTACTAATCTCACTAATGTTAGTCCAAGTCAAAATTTTGTTATGATTATAATCCCCCCCCCCCCGGTTTTTTTTAATAAATGGTTTTGAGATTGATAAATAGGAAACTGTTGCTTTACTTGGTCGGAAATTTATTGGACTAGTGAGGTCATATAGGGAGCATTTCCTCCTTGCCCGACTAGGAGTGTCTGAATTTTCCCTTTGTCCGTTGGTAAATTAAAAGTTTTAGAGATTCCTGACATGCATGATTTATGAAATTGTACTTATTAAAGAATCTTGAATGAATGTGTTCAAATCGAAGGAGACCATCTAGGGGCAACTGACTGAGTTTTTTTTTAAAAAATAAATAAGTATTTTCTAATAAATCTTTCTCTGTCTTCTGACCTACTTGTGCATGTATTTAACTTGGGATTCTCATGTATTCAAGGTTGAACTGTCCAGAATACAAAAAAAAATTGGTTCATGAGGTGAATATTTTTGTACATATATCTAGGGCATTGGAGAAATTATTTGTAGTTTTGGTGACCGTTTGTAAGAGAGTTGAAAAATTAAAATCGCAGTATTTAAAACTCCTTTGTTCTGAATTTAAACCCTAATTCTTTAATGCTCCCTGTTTTATTACTATTTCTTAAGTAATGATATCATGGAGTTCTGAAGTTCTGAATGCAGTTTTTTAATATGTAAATTACAGAGAAGTATGTTGCACATATGGAACCTAGATTTGGAGCAGTTGATAGAGAATTTGACAAACTCTCTCTCGGACATGAAAATGGTTTCTTATGGGATGACGTTAGTCCTGAAACCAATGAACTGCTGGGAGATGGGCTGCCTAAAGAAAGTGCTTCTGAGGTGGGGATATCTGATGTTTTTTGTAGTTGATTTGAGTTGTTTGTTTAAGGAAATAGGTGATGCTTGGATAAGGGGTATATGGACTAGAAATTCCTGATGTGGCTTAGTGGTTGTATAGAGAAACCACTCGTTTTATGGATTTGCATAGCACCGATATGTGAGAGCTTAGTCACTGAATGTGGAGTGAGCTGGCTTCACTTCTGCTACTGCTGCCTTAGACAGGCTTCTTAAAATCCTATTTGAAGGTAAGGGTTTGGTGGTTAGTCCCTGGTTTCTACCCGTTATCCAAGTACTCCCTTGTGGTTAATTTTGCCTATTGTCACATTCTTATTGCATGCTCCTAAATCAATTACAATATTGTCACTTGGTAAACCTGAAGCTATCAGTTGATGTTTGTGAATTGTGACCATATGTGGGCTCTACATTCGTAGCAAGAAAAAATCTCGGATGCACTAGATGATCTGTAGTTGCTGGCTTATCATAGTAGTTATGCAGGCAACCTAATCTACCATGATTTTCAGGTTTTGAATGGTGAAAATAAGGTCTCTTCTGCTAATGCAGCCAATCTGCAATTGGAAAAACGTGCCAGCTCACCCAGGTAACTTATAATCATTGTTATTGCCATTTTGTTTTATGGTGCTTTTACTAGAAATGAAAAGAGAGGATCTTTCTTATCTATGGGGTCAGGGATAGGGCGATTAATTAATAGTTGTTGATTGTTGATTGGTCTTATTTAAAAGTGTGAAAGAATGCATCAATTCAACATATGAATTTACTCTGCAATTTCTGTTTGTGCCGTTACTCCATCTCATGGCTTTCGGAAGTATTTTATTTATATCTTTTTTTGTCCCTCTCTTGAAGGATTGTGATGTGATCTTCAATACTTTATCATTTTATTCTTTAACGCTTACTCTTCTTTTTGGATTAATGAATTCTGTGCTCTGGTTTGATGGATGAGAAATATCTTCCAAGAAGAAAAACATTCTACAGTTTTTTTCCTTTTCTGTTTAATTTGAAAATTTTTGTACACAGAAGCTTGGTTTTAGGAGTTGGCATTTTATATCTTGTCTATGCTTAGTTCTCTCATTCTGTCTTCTCAGATTGGATCAGTCTGTTGCTAGCAAACGATTTAAGGAATGAAAGGGTCGCAAAACTCTGACGAAGTACAGTTAGGGCAGCAGCAACACGGAACAATAGGCATATACTAATTCATCGGAACGCATACAATGAGTTTCAAAAAAGATTTCAATTTCAATGGCTGTTATTTGCCAAGTCATATCGCAATATCTCTAGCATAGCATTTGACGATATGCTGAGGTGATATCTCTTCCTGAAGTCTATGCCTGTGGAGGAGGGCGTCCTTTTTTGTTTTGCCCTACCACTTACGTTCCTATTTTGTATGTTATTTTCCTTTTTTGTCTAGGCTGGCAATTGTAATATTATATGGTATATTTTCCATTAGAAATCACAAATATCTTGCACCTGAATGCTTAGTTTAGCTGGAATGCTAGCCATTTTCTAGCTGGAGATTGACCATTTTTTTAATGCATATATTGTAATAGTGACTTTTACAAGATATATTATGCCAAACTATAACTTGTGCTGTCAATTTCAGACAAATCTTTGCATATGCATGAATTGTATGGCATACTATTGATCAGGAGAGGGGAAATCTACTTTTTGAGCCTATGAAGGAAAAAGATGCACCCGGATAAGGTTTGTTCATGAGCCGGGTTACTGAAACATGAAGATGAATCTGAGACCTCTTTTTTGGTGTTCGAATCATAAACACCGGTGATTCTTTATGATGACTTTTTAGAAGTGTCAAGCTGGAGGAAGGGATTCTGCTATTTAGTCCCTGCAAGTTGTGAGGTGATCCTGAAGTCTTTGCAGGCTTCACTTTCAGCTTTCAAGCTTCCAAGGCAAGTGGGCTGTTTGTTCACAAGAGTCCAAGAAGGTTGGCTTCTCGCAAAATCTTTTAGATTTTCTTAGATGAATTTAATTTGAAAAATGACTGATTTAACATTGGCCCTGTGGATGGGAGGTTTAGATACGAATTTTGGTGTAAAATGTTTTGTTCGAGGAAGGCCAACCGGAGGACAAATATCACTCTATTCCTATGTAACTTGGATTTTATAAGATATTGGGTATTTAAAATGCTAGTCATTTTACCAAATGTAGTCAACGTTAGTTAATTATTTGATATCCCCAAATTTGCATTTCATTATGATATTCTGCAAGTGTGATGGAGAAATTAAGAAATATAGTAAGATAGGGTTACAGTTTGATAAGGGTAATTTTACGAAATTTTGGAAATTTTTAAAAACTGAAAAAACTCCAATTAAATATAGAAGTCATAAATGAGGGGTGGTGTGTGTGGCTACGGAGTACCCCGAAATAGAGGAGAACAAGAAGGAGATTCCAAGATCCAAATCCTTGGTCCGCTGATCTCCAAAAGAAATGGGAGCAAAAGGCTAGACTATCCCCGCAAGCTCCAAAACAAAAGGATGTACAATATTTTTTTTAACATCGCGCATCACTATAATGAGATTTAGAACTTATAATTTTTTAAAAATGATAACTTTTTTTCTGAAGAAAATGACAATTATAGAATTATTTTTATTTTAGATCATATATTTATTAAAATGAAAAATATTGAAACATAATTAAATTAAATTAAATTTGAACTGTTCAAAATCAATTTAGAAGTCCTACCTTGAGGAGCATAAAATATGCTTCTATACTGTATAACTTTATCAAAGAAAAGATTAAAGAAATCCTAAATTATTAGGTACATAGAATAAAATAAAATTTAATACCCCACAGAAGCATAAAAAGGTTGACGAAAAATTTAAAATTTAACTAAAAACAATTTTATAGTCAAATGATAATTATAGCAACCTAAACAAACTATAAATGAAAATCTTTTGGCGAAGGAAAACTCCACGAGTTAAGGCATCGAAGTGAACTTATTCAAACTTGAAAAGCATCATTAGACGATTTTTCTCCCAAGAATCGAGAAATGTGCACAACGACAACAACCATAGTCACTTATTCCAAGTGATTTGGCATTTACTAGGATCTTAATTATAAGAACCAGTTGACTAATTTGAGAATATTAAGGAAGTAAGTTGAGTTAGTTATTTATCTTAAATAGGTGTTGTCTTTCCTAAAATATCCTTGCTAATTAAGTGTATTGACTAGAACTATCATTATTAGAAGGGCTACTTTGAAAAAAAAAGTATAAATATGAGAGACAAAGTGGATTGGAATCTTATATTTAGAACCAAAATAAAAGTCAAATAGGGTCTTATATTAAAGGTGGGAGGTAGTATTAAGCAAAATTTTGAGTTTTAATTTTGCCTAAGAAAATAATTGTTGAGAGAGTTTGACACCCATGTGATGTTATTCCAAGTGATCTGTTGCAACTTTTGAAAACCGATTGGAGAGAGGAGTTTCATATTTGACTCTTGAATAACACCATTCGGGGAAAAACACAGAAAGAAATGAACATAGTGTGGTAAGGAATCTGCATATTGTGACCACCTAAATATTTTATACTGTTGTTGCCCGAGAAGGTTCTTAATTATTTCACCAAGATTCCAAGAATTAAATGATGCAGACAATGATCATGTGGTTGATTTGTTTGAATATGGTCCTTAACTAGAAAATTTGGTATTTTAATTAATCTTCTTGTCCATCTGAACATGAACTTGCCACTACCAGTGCCGTACGTTGTGTGCCTCACTCATTTCAAAGACCCCAGCATCTTCACTTTACATTTTCCAAGCGCCTTTTTAACTCCACTTTGGTTATCACAAATTCACAAGTCCTTGTAATAACTATGGCATATTTTTCAAGTACCGTTCCCTATCTTAAATTAATTTTTTTTTTTTTATGTAGTCGGTGTTCTTAGAAAAGTTTTTTGTGCATCTAGCATCATAAAATATTTTTATAACAACACTTAACATCCTAAGTATTAGGTGCTCGTTATTATCGATAAAAATTTTAAGGTGATAAATACATGAGAAATTAGTTTATGGTACTGAATGTCATTAGAAAAATATTGTTGGGAGTAGCTCATGATTTTAGAAACTTTTTCCGACTTCGATAACCTTTGTGCTTACCGAGATGACCACTTTGGAAATCTCCTCTGGAGGTAACATGCTCCTCAGATTTTTTTCCCCCCCTGCAAGCATTAGCCTCTTCTGGTTCCTGTCCCTGGTAATTTCTTGTTCTAATCAAACTTCTAAGCATTGAAAAATTCCAAGATAAATGAAGTAATGTGTAGATCACACCAATCATAATAGGTATATTATAGCACTGAGCAAAGGCCAGCCGATCCCAGATTACGCCAATCACAATAGGAGCATTGAAGAAGCATGAGTGCCAACAACACCAGATATGGCCTGGCAGCTGGGATTGTGACAAAGAACTTGGATATAGCAAACACAGTGTCAAGGCACATTGGTGCAGGCATTGTTTGGATCAGCTGCTATCTGGCCTTTGATAACGACTTCCCTTATGGAGGGTACACTACAAGACGAGCGGATTTGGAAGAGATCATGGACTCCATGCCCTTCACAAATATAAAAATAATTAGGTGTGCTAACTTGATATAAAAATGACACTCTATGTATTCATTTGAGGTAGAAAATTAAGAAACTACAAATAAATAGAAAAGCTATCTTTCACTGGCGCATGGATGAATGCAGAGTTAATCATTCTAATCAGGGACATGAAGTACACAAATTTCCTTGGCTAGAAAAATCTCTAGTTTCCAAATGCTGTAGAAGGATCAGCTAACTGAACAGAACGATAAAGATGTGGACAAATAATCTAGTTCATCCCGTGAAGAACCTTGATCAGAATTTTGAGAGTAAGAAAATAAATCACAAGAGACTCTAAGGTTCCGTTTGGTATGAAGTATTGAAAATGAGCGATAAAAACTATAATTGTAATTGAAAAAAATCATTAAAAAATCTTTAGCATAAGTAATTACTTGTTATATGATATTAGACAAATCCATTAAGGTAGGATTGGGTAATACCACTTCCCCCCATGGTATTCCTCAATCCCATGTACATGGGTTTGTTTAATCCTATGCAACAAGTAATCTTTCATGCCAAACACTCTTTTAATAGATTTTCCCAATCTCAATTACAATCTCTGTCCCTTATTTTCAATACTTCGTACCAAACGGTACCAAGAGCTTGTTCTTCTTCTTTTTCTTGAGCTTCAGCCACAACATCTTTACTCTCAACTTACATGATCTGGTGACTGATGACATGTTTCTGATATCCATGGACGCACCAGAATCAGAAATCTTCTGTCATAGTTGAACTGGGAATCCCAGGCGTTTAAGATGAGGAGAAAACTTTGATTATAAGCACATGGAATGATGGAATGCTTAGCTCACTTGCTAAAGGGAAACCTAACCAGCTATTATTAACTTAATTCTCCCTTTTAATTAAAACTCAGCCACCAAATATCTTCTTCCCAGATTATGCGGATCATATTCTACCCTGTTATCTAATGATGGTGCCAAACTGGGGAGAGGAATGTCTCTGCTTAGCTTCCTCTCCACTTACCTCCATTTACTATCTTAACATTCAATGATTGAGATTTAATACACTATAGGAGTATTATTATAATATTAAATAATAAAAAAATATAAATAAATTTAATCTATATATAAATAAATATTATCCTAATCATGATAAAAGTAAAAGAATTATAAAATATTTTAATAAGAATTTACGGATTATGTATGCATATAATGTCTAACTGCTTATATATATTTGTTGTTTAATTAATATTATAATAATACTATTATAGTGCATTAAATATTAATCATTAGATGTTGATTTAATGGTAGAGATAGTAAATGGAGGGAAATGGAGAGAAACCTAAACGCAGATATTCTACTCCCGCCAAACTGAATCATGACATGGATCTCAAAAAAACTCCTAATTATCATTACTATTTTTTCCCCCATTGGAATCTCTTTTTTGGAGCAACACTGCCTTGTACATGTGGTACTTGATCTAACTTTCATTTAAGACTAACACAGTTAAGGTGAGAGGATTTAAAATATATTTTATAAAATTAGGAGATCAAATTAAAATGTTATATAAAATTATAGGATCAAATGTGCATTTTTACCATTAATATAAAAGTAATAAATGGTAACATTAAAAGGAACGGAAAACTAAAGTAATTAACTTTTATAGATTAAGTTAAATGGTCCTTAACTTGATTATTTAATTCAGTTGTTATGCCCAAAAAAATTTAACTAAGTTGGAGATAATGAAATTTTAGTTAAACATTATAAGAAAAGAAATACCAATATTTTAGTGCTTATCATTTTTTTTCCTTAGGAGTTGACGTGCTGGGTGTAAAATAAATTTCAAATAACCAAAAAATGCTACATCATCTGCTTATGCGATTTGCCAACTAGAATTTTTTTTAATCAAACTCGAGCTGAGTCATTAATTTCACAGTCAAAGAAAATAGTTCTGTTAACATTGGATGAGCATGCACTATTTTAAATACTTAAAGGAGAGAGAAAGCAAAGTTTCAGTATACGGAGTTGCTGCGTAAAAGCGGAAGCGCTAACAAATTTGACGACGCTGGGTGAAATATTGACGACATTCTTGCACTTGTCCTTTCTCATTCCACTTTGATAATCTTATGTCGTCATGCACTCCAACAAGTTGGCCATCTTTGGAGAAGCATATGGGGAATATGTTATTCATAAACTTGCTATAAGACACAGAAAAACTTAGTCCAAGATGATTTCACCCCATACTCTCTCATCATCCCTATCTCGTCGCGACCATTCGATCCCAACAAGAGGGTGAGGCATCCTTTAAGTACGCGCAGAGGAGACACTACTTCTAAGAAATTACCATCGGATTCAGAGGGCGCAGGAATCTCTCTTAAACTCTTTGTTGTTATATCAAATGCAATAATTTCTATTTCAGATGGAGTCCGAACAAGCCAGTGAATAGCACGGTTTAAGAAAAAACCAATGGCTGGTACAGTCCAAGTACCGATGGTAAGTTGATGATGATGGTTTCTCCTTGTGTTTGCATCCGAGCACTACCAAGTAGTCATCGGCAAACTCATCATAACAAAAGCCATATAAATAAGGTATGGAATCGCGTACTGTCGAAGGAGGCATTGGAATTTCTTGTCAGATCCTTGTGGAAGCATTCAAAAGAAAAAATTTGCGCTCATCTATAGGCTTAAGAAACACAAAGCCTCGGCAAGAAGCCGTCATAAAATTGACATCAGCGTATGAATTGAAAAGGGGAAGGTCCAGTTTCACAAGAGCAGAATCGTCATGGAGGGATGAGTTAAAATCTATGGATAGGATTTGTGGACCATTTGTGTAAAGGATTCGATTTGGGTGTTGTTGGGAAGGTTGTTGAAAATGGAGTTTGGCAAAGTAGGGGTCAGAGATGAGAGAGAGACTTGATGGGCAAGTGAAGAAGGATTTTCAGTTTCAAATCATGCGAAGGTTGTCCATGGTTTTGTGTCAGGAAGGAATGAGAGGGATTGTATTTGATGGGATTAATGTTTTCAATGATGAAAAAGATGATTCAGATAAATAAACATGATTAATTATTAGGATATGGTCAAAACTAATGTGGATCCAAAATTCTATGGCTACTGGTAACCTCTAACTCTTTTGTACGTTATTTGTGGCGGCAAGATCGATTCATACATGATACAAGTATAGAGAATAAGTTTCGCCCAGCAAACTGATAAATACTAAAAACTTGTCACCATTGCACACTGTTCAAATCTAACTTGAATAGTTCAAATTGAATTTTAACTTTAACTTTTGTTATTTTAAAATTTTATTTTAATATATACATAATTTAAGATAAAAATATTATCTTAACTGTTAACTTTTCGGGAAAAAAACAATTTTTTAATTTAAAGTTCATTAGTTAAATATTTTATATCAAACTGCTGAAATTGTATTTTTTTTTTTTTGACCGGATGCTGAAATTGTATTTGAAGAATATGACAGTGATGTTTGGGATAAACTTGTAAATGATGAAAGACTCCATTGGTCAAAGCACTGGGTTTATTTGTTTATAAATAAGAGGTGGTTTAATTTTGCTTTCCTCATGGAACAATTTATGCAACATATTTTTTTTCGCAACCACTGTTTCAAGTTTAACGTGTTTATATTTTAACAATTGTGTCAACTACAGTTACTTATTACAAGTGATTTGGTATTTATTAACCAAAATTGAGTTTCAATTTTGTGTAGAAAATACTTATCGAGTTTGACACTTTGTGATGCTATCTAACTCCCACAATTTGGGTTAGTACAAGTTTGATAATTTTGAAAACATTTGAGACAATTGTTTTAGTGGTATCGCCACTATTCATATTTATGTTTGGATGAGATTTTAGATTCGAACTTAGTATTGACGTGTTTGTGTATGTGCATTCCAGGTAATACTATAATGCATCAAGAGATGGATTTCATATTTGATTCTTTAATAACACCGTTTGGGGCAGAAACCCAAAAAAACACAGAAAGAAACCAACACAAGTGCAAGGACTCTGCAAATTGTCACCACCACCTAAATATTCTATAACGTTGTCGTCATCTTCACGAAGATTGCAACATTTAAGTGATGCGGACAGTCATCATGTGGTTAATTAATGAAGCAGACAAGATGCCGCCTGCTGAATATTTTCCTTAAAAAATTTGGTATCTTAATCTTCTGGCCCAGCTGAACCTGCCACTACCATTGCCGTACGTTATGTGCTTCACTCATTTCAAAGACCTGAGCATCGTCACTTCTCATTTTCCAAGCATCCTTTCTATCCTTTGTTATTCCACTTTGGAAATCTCTCCTGAGGTAACATGGTTCCTGTTCCTGGTAATTTATCTTGTTCCAATGAAACTTCAAAGCATTGAAAAATTCTAAGATAAATCGAACTAACGTGAAGATTACACCAATCATAATAGGCATATTATGGCACTGAGCAAAGGCCAGCAGATCCCAGATACAAATGGAGCGCATAAATCTACATATTTAACGATTCACGATTTCTCAAATTCTCATAGCAAAGAATCCAATAGGGAATCCAGCCGGAAAAAACAAGAAAAGGAATCCAATAAGCAAAAGCATTTTACATCTTTGCATTACAACATGTAATTTTTACAGGCAAGTTCTGTTGAACTCTCATGAACAAATCTCCATTCTTTTGCCCCTGAAACTCCTCATACTGTATAAAAGAGAGAGCGAAACTGAAAGAATCATACAATCTAACTGAATATAGAAGCATGATATACAACAAAATTACACCCTTAAAACATACTATGTATCGACACTCAATACCTGCCAAGAAATGGCTAGACTCCCATCCCACTTTGCCAGGCTAACAAAATGGCAAATGGATTAGAACAACCACACAAGTTTCAGACAAAGTTGGTTTGAAACATTACCCAACCAAACTATTCATGGATGAGGATAAGCATGTCAAAAGTCTCACTGAAAGCGTGGTAACATACTTGTATATCAATCCATGGTTAGTTTGACCTACCCATTCTTTGTTCATCCACAGGAGTCTAATGAAGAATTTTTCTCATGGAAATCCGAGCTTTGACAGAAGGTTCTTTAATATTCCACGGCCCCACTGAATATCACTTTCCAAGACATTTTCATGAGCCGTGTGAACCTCTGGCACTTTAGCTATAGCTGTGGTTGAATGAAACTTCTCTGGAAGCCCATTGTCAACCAGTACTGGTTCATCACTGAGTGTTTCAGCTATCTCTTGGGGTTTTCCGTCATCTGATTCTTCTTGCTCCTCTTCATTGACCTGCACCCCATCATCTGATTCTTCTTGCCCCTCATTGTCAACCAGTACTGGTTCATCACTGAGTGTTTCAGCTATCTCTTGGGGTTTTCCGTCATCTGATTCTTCTTGCTCCTCTTCATTGACCTGCACCCCATCATCTGATTCTTCTTGCCCCTCATTGAATTGGACCTTCTCAGTTCCATCAAGCAATGAAAAAACAATAACATCAATAATTCAGCAGTTTCAGGTTGTTTGGGAGGAATGCAGAATAATAGATTACCTACAGAAGAGTTGAAAGAACTGCTCAACCAGCATGGACAAGCCACAGATTTATTAGAAATTTATGGCCACAGGTGCTCATCAGATGCTTGTGATGCCGATGCTAAGTAATTTTAGCGCTCACAAAAGCGGTGGAAAACGTACAACGTGAATTTTCTTTTTGGTCAAAAGTACAACATGTGAATCTAACGCGCATTAACAATGGAAAGCTAACTGAGTCTCTGAAATCTAGATACGGTGCAAGTTTTATGGCTTTCGGTTGCATCATACATTATAATAGCTTGGCTTTTTGGTAATTCATCATAATTGACAGAGAAGTCGATTATTGCTTATAAAAATAGGTATAGTCAATTGTATTATTTTATTATCAATAAGATTGGAGATATCATTTCTTTCTTTCTTTTTGCACATTCAGATGCAGAAATGCTGTACTAAGAAACAACTTGATGTGCCCTGGAAATGGACAAAGCTTACTTCCATTGATAAACATAAGAGACCATACAGAAGAAAAAACAGAAAGGAAAAAAAAAACTCCTTTTTATTATGCAAGTAATATTAGTAGAATAGAAACCCCAAGCCCCAAGGAAAAAAAAAAACAAAAAGAAAAGGAAGCCCCTGTGCTGGAAACAGAATCAACCATTTTTCTGCCTAAGGTAGGTTTGAACAAGAAAAATGAAGAAGAAACTAGGAGGGCATGACGAGAAAAGGATCATCGCGCTCATCAAGAGTTTACCTCTGGCATGTCCTGATCCTTCTTTTCAAGTGCTTCTACTGAAGTGTCCTTGTTATCCCTCTCTTCCACTTTATGACTAGTTGTTTCTTCAGTTTTAGGTGGAGTCAAGCCAGGTACAAGAACAGGACTTCCTTCAAAGTCAAATAGGTTGCCCTTCAAAACTTCCTTTCCCTGATTATTGACTTGTGAAACTTTTCCCATGTGTTCAAGATCATGAACTGTAACTTCACTCTGAAGAACCATATTGTTCACGCCTCTTCTTCGAGGTGTACTCTTGGGGGCATCTTCTGATGAATCTATATTTTCTGCAACAATAGCCATTGGCTTCTCCATGGAAGAAGAAGTGATATCACCTGCAATTTGTTGCACGTCTGGTTCAGCAAGTGGTTTCTCCTCTAAACGACTTTTGCTGTCTTCAAAGTCTAGTGCATTGGTTGCATCAGATACCGTCTCTTCTTCAGGATGATCCAAATTCTCCGAAAAATTTGACATTTCTGAGTCAATCAGGGGTTGCCCATCTGAGTAATCAGGTTGTTCTTCCTCTGTGATTTTCTGAAGCTCAGCATTCTCCCAATCCTCACAAACAGTTATTCTGTTGACAGTTTCCCAAGTCTTAACAATTCGGTCAGACCCTGGCTGCCACATAATATCTCCAGACATTGATTTCAGAATAAACTTGTATTGGATTGTCCTCCCCATAGGCACATCCTATTTAGACACAAGAAAGTCTATTTATGCCACCAGGTAAAAATTATTCTCGTCTTCACATTTCTGTTAGATTAATGGATTCTACTCACCATCTCAACAAACCAGAGATGCCCTTCTGACCAGGTCATTGGTAGTGCATTTGAGGGATCCCAAGCACCAATCATAGGATCATCACCCACTACAAGAAACTGTTCGCCGAACAAGCAGTCTTTTTGTAACTGAAGTTTGATCCGAACAACCTTTGTTTCCTCTGCACAATCCATATATTATCTTTAGAATTTTTAAAACAACAGAATATTGTACAGTAGAAAACTCGTAAAAGGTAATCAGGACCCACCATTTTGCTGTGCCTGAGGCTCTTCAGTTTCCAAGTCCACCTGCAACATGTTATACAAGAAAAGATTGAATCTCACCGGATACTCCCAAACTTCTATACAGATACCCACACAAGGAAAGAAAAGAAATCAGAAACAAGGAGCGCCTTAGAGAAAAGTTTTGGGGGGGGGGGATTTCGGTCTTTCCACTCACTTTCAGAATCTTTTGCTTCTTAGAATAAGAAATTTTATAAGGGAACTGTAGGATGGGGAAAGGCTCTGTCTGACAGCCGCATGCGAAATTGCAGAAATAAAAGAGCCGAATAAAATATGAAGGAAAGATTGGGAATCCAGAAAGAATCTTGAAAGCAACCTTTTTAAAACACTTCGCATAGAAAGCAGCTAGAACTTGAGCCAAAAGGAAAAGAAAACAAAAAAGGAAGCAGCGGGAACTTAAAAGTGCTGACTGAAGCTCACAAACAGAATATTCGAAGAAGACAAACAACGGCAAGAAACAGAACTTACCATTGAAAAGAAATAAAAAATATGGTAGAACAAGAACGAAAAGAAGCAAAACACATCGCTGAAACCACTAGAAGCAGAGGAAAACAAACAAGAATGATTGAGAAAATGAAAATTCTGGGAAGAAAGAGACCTGGGGTTCATATGGCACAGCACGAACTGGGGAAATACCCTTGTTTTGAGTCGTCTGAAGGAAGCCAAAATTGCCGACTTTATCAGTGGAGAGGGAAAATTCAAGCCTGTCTGAGAAATGAAGGGCAGGAACAATCCTCGAGGAAGAAGATCCAAGGCCATCAAAAAGGGCCTTAGAGTAAGAACTGGTGAGGGCTTCCATCACTCGGTGAGTGAAGTTAACCACGAGATAGTGATCACAGCAAAGTTTTGTGGTGTGCCTGGCTTTCTTGGTTCCACAGCTTTTGTTGGTTAGCGGCTGAGAATGCAAAGTAATTCTATCAAAATCGCCAAGGACAAGCCACTTTTATAGAGGCGGGTTTAAACATGTGAGTAGAAGAAAAAGGCAGAGCGGATCCGATTACACGTGGCATGGCGGAGGAGTAAAAGAAGTCATCAATTGCTTTTTACTCGACGTGAGAATCTCTAGCGTACGAACAGGTGGTTTCCGTTTAGTGGTACATATAGCTCCGTGATTTGAGCTTTTCTTGTTCATAACGTGCATCACATTGGCCTTTGAGATAATTTTCATTTGGGAAAATTGAGAAAATGTTCCAAACTATTCCCAATCTGTGTGTGCAGAATTTACAAAATATAAAAAAAAATATTATATTTTTTAAAAATAAAATTTTTAGTAGTAGACTTTTCCCAATTTTTTCTTTTCATTTTTGCCGGATAATTTTTTAAAAAAAATATTCATATTTAATGAGATTTTGAAGGAAAGAAAAAATAGTCACATTCAAGTTATTTATATTAATAAAATTAGTAAATAAATATTAATTACTCTCCAAATTATTCCATATTGTGAACCAAAATTTTCTTAAAGTATACTGAAGAAAATATTTGTTTGACATTGTTCGTGGGAATACAGATAAATTCGGCGGAAAAAAACAGAATAGAGATAAAGCCACTTTATAATATGACTTCAATAATTCTACCAAAAACTTTTTTTTTTTTATACAAAAGAGGGCCACGCCCAAAGTACAACTAAACCAGACAGGGATTAGATCCCAAGCTCTTCTTTTCCACAATGACCCTCAAACCGGGAGGGCACATATGACATAACAAAAAACGTAGAAGATGAAATTCCTCTCTTGGCTAAACTATCTGCAACACCATTGTTGTCTCTACTTGTATATCTCAGTTGGACTTCCCAAATTCGCTTTAATAACTCCTGAATTCGCAGTACCATAAGGCTACTGTTATGATTAACCACCTTTGATGACAGCATCTCAATGAGTTCTTTAGTGTCAGATTCCAGGATGATCTGTTTAAACCCATAATCCACAGCCAAATACTGTATCCACACTTTCTTACCTTTTTTATAAAACTCCATTTAAGATGACTTTTGCCCCTTTTAAACAGTTATCAGGCCAGATGCAAAGGGGCCAGGTCAAGCCAAAAAAAAAAGGCCAGTTTTTTTTTTTGGGGGGGGCGCCTACACCTGGATATATTAACCACGGACAAATTAAATTAATGTACTTTCTCGGCTTCTAGATATAGAAAAAGCAAAGAATAAACACTCAAAAAAATACTATCAATACAAACACACACACGATTCACAAACAAAAACAACAAAGAACTGCAACAGAATAACCTGAGAAGAAGCAGCAGAAATTAACCAATGCCACTTCTCTCCTCAAAATTACTATCTTCGAGGACAATGGCTCTTGAACCAGTCACAAATCTTCTCCTTCTTTGTTACTATCTCCGGCTATTAATATTTTTCATATCCTTAATATAAGATCCTTTTTATAGGACTGGAGGAGAATAAAAATTAGATGAGAATTAAATTTGGTTCTATATACAAGATTTCAGTCCATTTTGTATCTCAATTTTATAATTCATTCTTTAAAGTATCTCTATCGATTACACATGTTAATAGGTTTTCATCCAAGAATAGCCATGATTAAAAAAGATACTTTAAGAAGATCAATTCATATTAATTACACATAATTAACTTAACTAATTTTTTTAATCTACTCAAATTGGTTAAGTAGCTCTTCTATTAAAGATTAGAAATAGTATTATGACTTTTAAAAGGAAATCAAATTTCCTTACTGAACTCATTTTTTAACTATTTCTAATGGACTCACTTTAAGTAGGGACGCATGAAAGATTTTTAATTAGAAGTAATAGAAATAATCAAAAAAATAATGCAAATGGAATGAAAATAAGTAGCGTATATGTTAGAAAAGAGAAAAAAATTAATGTTTGATATGATTCAGAAAATGTGTGCGCCATTGAAAATTATTGCACAAGTTATGCGTGTGTATATAAACAAGTAATACAATATTTTCCTTCTCTGATAAAATCTCTTCATTTACGGGGAAAAAATAATAGCTAATTAAGAACTATAGACATTATTGCAAAATATACAATGGTGTGACATAAGTTTTGCCATAACACTTCCTTGTTGAATTGCCAATTTGCCACTCCACTTGTTCCAGAGATGAACACCATAAGTTTGTCCTCTAAGCTGAATCAATTTAGCTCTCACCCATCTTGCTTCATCCCTGTTCTTGGGCTTCTGAAACCACCCACCTACCCTGGTCCAATCCACAGGATAAAACGCCATTGGAGGTAACACTCTCAAGTTTAAACCACCTTCTGCTTTCACCCTCTCAACTACTCTTGACACTAGATATGGACCGTTATATCCCCACTTGTTGCCATTAAAATTCAACGCAAATTCTTGTATGAATCGTAACAAAAGTGGGTGATTCTTATCAAACACAAGAACTGCGTTGTTCAGCCTAGTCCAGTGCTTAGAAACAGAGTTCGTACTTTGTGCTCCTATGCAATTCCTTAATCCTTTGAAGGGTTTAAGGATTATGAAGTCTGTGTCTAGATAGATGCCTCCGTATTTGTATAGAACCACAAGTCTTATTAAGTTTGATAGATTCTGGGGCAGAGGAATCTCACCTGGGTCCTTCTTCCCTTTTATCAGATCATGAAGCCATTTTTCTGCTGGAGTTCTCCGAAACAAAAATGGCAGATTTGGTGTCACAGCCTGGACTTTGAATCCACGATCAATAAGAGGCTTCAGAATCTTATACCCTTGTTTGGAATCTAAAGTTCTTGATAGGATTGCTAAGCATGCCTGAGGATGAGCCTTGAACAGAGATTCTAAGGATAACAGTTCTCTGTTTCCAAACAGGCTCGCAGGGGAAATCCAAGTCATGAAGAACTGAGCTTCACATTCATGGCGGAAGAGTCGTACAACTCTAGCATGAAACTGACGGGTCAAATTGTTTGACTCGAAAATCTTGAAGTCGTGAAACCTTTTCCGGAACCAAGCCATCCTTTCTTTTTCTGTGACATTCAATGGAGGAACTAGAGGCTTCTGGTTTCCTCTATCAACTTCCTCTTCTTCATCTTCAACGGGTATGTGGGAAAGCGTTGACTCTATTGCTTTCTGAATTCTGGGTTTCTGCAATTGTAACTGAAACTTCTCAGGAGCTTCATGATTCAGGGAATAATGGGGGCTCCTTATATCTTCACAGAGAAGAAAAATCATTGCACAGAAAGTGATAAAAGACAACATGATACAGAGTTTGGCACGTATAAGAATCTTGCGATCAAACATGGTGCAGAACATTCGATATGAATGATGATGAAGCAGAGGTAGCTAGCAGAGAGATTGTAGCTTTCAAGAAGACAATATGAAGGAAGACTGAATTAATTAGGGATGAATTTGTCAGATTTAGAAGCAACCAGGGTGCACGTCATGGTGTGGCGGCTAGCTGTGGTGATGAGTGATGTGGATGAACACGGTTTGCTGCTACCTTCTTGGTTTTTTTTTTTTTTTAATGAAGCTTTTTATCCTTTTATCTTAAATTTGAATGATATAAATTTTAAATTTAAATTTTATTTCAAGTTAGAATTATCATTATCTTCTTAACTAATAATTGACAAATTTTATTTTTAATTTACATTCTTTTTTAATGAAAAAATCTTTAAAAAAAGTAAAACATGATATTAATGACGTAAATTTATTCCAGATGATCTAAATAAGAGATAAGCACTATTAGAATAATTGAATATCGTCTACATTAATGAATCCAACTAAATATGATTATTCTTATTATTTAACAATATACTCGAGTATGTAAGCTTGATCATTTTTAATAAAAAATATCACTTATATATTTTATTAAAATTGGGGATTAAAGTGATAAGATAACCTTGTCCATTAAGTTATACTGAAATTATATGCAAAGTTAGAAGTAAGTTACATATCATATAATCATATTAGATAAAAAAAAAATCACTCTCTAAAAAATAAGTTATAATTTACCAATTGTGTGACTTCTCTAAAAAAATTTTTCCAACCACAATTTTTCTTTTCCAATTCATTGATGTATTAATAAAAAAAATCGCAATTAATAACAAAGATCAGGTAGGTAATTAACGGCAATATTCACTCATAATATTAAATAGTTTAAAATGATGTATACTTTTAATGATAATAAAGAATAGATTCATACGTCATTTATTGAAAAAACAAATCATGCGGATTTTATTTCAGTTATGTGAGTGCTAGTTCATTTTTATCATATAACTAAGTTTCTGGCCTGGTTACGTAGTCCAATTAAGTCACTAATTAAGATTAGGCAATACTAGAAAAGGAAATTAGATTTAAAATTGTGTTACAAAATCACCTTTTAGTTTAAGGGTCAATGTATTTCATGACTTGAATATAATTTAAAATTTTCAGTTCATGTAATCATTTTTTGGCTAATTATAATGTGTTTGTTTATTTGAAAATAAAATGAAAACGGAAAGATATATAATTATGAATAAATGCAAACAAATGAAAATAGCTCTAATTCCAACACCTTTGGGAAAGTTTGGTGTCAAAGTTTTGCTATGTTTAACTGTCACATATTTGACACTTCTTATTAATAAAGATATCAGTTATAAAATATCCTTTTCTATTATTTTTAAAATCACTATAAAATAAAAAAATTATAATAAATTTCATTGTTTATAAAAATTTTAGGTTATAAATAATTCAATATAGTTCTTAAGATGATGACAACGACGATAAAAATAATAATGCAATAAAAATATTGAGTGTGTTACCTTGTTCCGTTTATAATAATGGCTTTGTTCAAAATTTCCACGGAAAAAGATATGGTAGACGATAAAACAAAAGAATATTCGATAAACCTAATTAAATTTCTTTAATTAACTTCTAATGTCATCGTTGCACTAATCATGCACGCATCACATTTCTGCATTATTCGTAGATCAGATGTGATGTCTCATCTGTCAATAATATTAAAATTAAAATCATACTTGTTGCGCGTGGATAATTATATTTTATTCAATAACTTCTTTACATAGGGTTGATAATCCTTATTAATTAATTATTCTATATAAGGATATATAAGCAAAAATCACGTCAAATCTCTGGTATGAGTGATGTAACCAATGAGTACATTAGTCAATGGGCCATGGCTGTATAAAAAACATTAACATACCAACACGCTTTTGTTTTAGCATAGCAAGTTTTGATAGCTTTTTTTTTTTGAGCTGAGCAAGTTTTGATAGCTTAAACACGAAGTTTCCAGCTTAAATTCATGTTCAGGTTAAAAAAAAAAACTTGAATTCATGTAAATAGAAAAAACTGTTTAGGAGTGCCACTTTTAATTGGAAACAATACTTTCACCAAAAAAAAAAAAGATTGCTTGCGAACAGGCGGAAAGAAAACATAAACACAATTACAAATTTGGCATTTAAAATTGTAAAAATAAGGGATGAAGTAACATAGGGAAATCATTAGTGCCTGAACGCAGATTGTTTCGATCTAGTCTTCTAAATTTTTTTAAAAATATTTTTTTCATTTCTTTAATTAACCCTTAGTCTCAAATGATTATTTTTATGTCAATCACTATTATTTTTGAAAATTAAAATTAATCGGTCCACATTTAAAAATATTTTATCAAGTTTTTTAATTTATTATGTCAAGTTCTTTAATCACACGTGTAATTAAAAAACTTGACATAATAGACATAAGAAATTTGAAGTAAGTATTTTTTATTAGTATTTAAAATTTTAATGTAGCATTTTTGTTAACAATGTTAGAATTACAAAATTGAAAAAGACGCCTAATGGAATTAAGAGATCAAAATCAAACCACATATGAAGTTAAGAACTGAAGATATACTTTTCACACAAAAATGTGTTACAAATAGGTAACAAATAAAAAAATTAATTATATTTACAGGTAAATATTAAAGAATGACATGTCTTTTGACATGTTATTCTCCCCAAATTAAAAAGAAAAGAAGCTTTAGTCTTATCTGAGGCAATGGTAATTGTAATTAAAAATCAAGAAGTTTATGTAATATTGAATTTTAAATTAGTAAAAATTATATCTGATTTACTGATTTCAAACCCGAATTTGCAATATAATGGATATTCAAATTATAAACCAATTAATGCCATCTTCTAACTGGACTCTTCCAAGCCATCTTCTCTGTCTATGTAATCTTGGAGACCAGATCTTCGGAACCAGATTCGATGCTCATCACCTTGATGAATATTCTAAGCTTATCAGATTTAGATCATTCATATTTCATTTGAAGGGGCCATATTTGATTTTTTTTATTTATTCAAAATAATTATTTTAATATGTATAGAATTTAAAATAGAGATAATCTCTTAACTATAATTTTTTTTCAAAAAATAGTTTTCTATTTAAAAATAATTAATTAAAATTTTTAAATCTGGACTGTTCAAATCAAATATAAACGCTTTAGATCTCATGAGTTTAGGGTGTTCATCAAAACTGAAACTCTAGTTCTTCCCCCATCAAGTCAGCCATAACTGTTTATAATTTTAATGAACTGCAAAGTTTCGTTAGTTTCCTGTGATATATATCTCATTTCAAAATAGAAATATAACCATATTTCTAATGAAACCTTTTATCGGAGAAAGCTTGGACGACGGTGCACCAAAACAAAAAAAAAGCTTGGACGAGCCAGTTTCCCCATCATCTTCGTAATCTCTTTCTTTGCCTTTATAATTTTGTGTATCCACAAGTGCCAAACAACGAACCATGATTATTATGTCCTACGTCGTTCTTTAATGGGTTTGCACTTTGCAGAATCCCATAAACACAAAAGGAAACAACATAATGACGACACTTTCCCGCGCAGTTCTTCGTCGTTCGAATATTCCCATGCAACGAGTCGATGAGGATCATGATGCTCCAGTGCTGCCATGGAACCTCACAACAAAACACCAAGGGATCGGCTGGCTCGAGAGAAACTTCATGAGTCCAGGATTTTGAAATCCAACGTCGTCACTCGTCAGTTTCACAGGAGAGTTACTGGGAATCTTGAGCAATGAATGTGAATCTCAGTTTTTCATAACTTGGATATCCCCAGCGAGGTTGTTTTGAAGCAGGGAATTGTTATCCTTAAAAACTCTTTTCAAGGTTCATCCCAGAGCGTGTTTGATCATAGTATCAAGAACTTTGGATTCCAAACATGGTAAGAGGATTCTGAGGCCTCTGACTCGCGATCGATCGTGGGTTCAAAGTTGCATCTGTGACACCAGATTTGCAGAGTTTGTTTCGTAAGACTCCTGCAAAAGCATGGCTCCATGATCTGAGAAAAGGGAAGGACCCAGGTAAGATTCCTCTGTCACAGAATCTATCGAATCTCATAAGACTTGTGATTCTGTAAAAGTATGGAGGAATATACTTAGACACAGATTTCATAGTGCTTAAATCTTTTCAGTTTTTCGCGGGTTGAGAAATTCTATTGCTGCACAAGGCATGGACCCAGTTTGCAAGAACTGGACAAGACTGAATAATGCAGTTCTTCTTTTTGACAAGAATCACCCGCTTATGTTTCGATTCATTGAAGATTTTGAAACAGGTTTTGATGGGAACAAATGGGGGCATAATGTTCCTTACATGGTTTCCAGAGTGGTTGAGAGGGTTAAAGAAGTGTTGAAATTCACTATTTTGCCTCCGACGTCGTTTTATCATGTGGTTTATCATGTGGATAAGAAGCCAAGGAATGAAGAGGAAGCCAGATGGACTGAAGGCTTTTCATATAGGATTAGAATTTCAAAATGACAAATAGGAGATGCTGATTATTTTTATATAAATTTTGACATGTCAAATCATCTATTTATTATTTTGAAATTTAATGGTTTTTTTTTTCCATTTTCCCTTTTCACTTTTCACTAGTCAATGTAAATTTATGAAAGTTTAATCATTAAAGCAGATTTCAATTTGGGCCTATTGCCAAAGTTCTATAAAAGATAGATTCAGAAGGCCTAAGCCCAAACTCAATCAAACAAAGTCGTTGCAATGAATTATTTTTTCCCGCCTTCATTCAGTTCCACATCACAAATCAAAATCTTGCTAGGGGATAATTCATAGGCATCTTTACGAGTGCTCTATAAGTTAAAAAGTCCAATCCTTGACTCTGATGAGCCTGTAACATCTAACTCAATTTTTTTATTTTTTATTTTAGAAATAGGTTAGAAATGTTTTCTCATTACATAAATCTCTATCTTGGCCCAAAAAAATCACATAATTCTATCTTTTTAATTCCCGATTGAGACAGCAATTTTTCTAGCAAATAAAATGTGAGTTTTCTAAGATTTACTTACCCGTCATCTCAATGGAGAGAAAATGAGAGAAGAAAAAAGACTATTAAAAAAAAAGAGAGAAATGAGTTTCTTTTATTTGAATGAAGGAGAAAATCTAAGAGGAAAAAAAGCTAAAGAGAAAATGGG